TACATAGAACACTAGCTAGCGATAAACAGTCTAATCGTTTGCTTTCGCCGCGTGCAGGCAGTCAGACGCCTGCAGTACAGTCACATCAAGCGTTCGCTGCTGGCGTGCGTGAGTGACGACGGAGCGACGAGCCTGTGGGATGTGAACGCGCGGCAGCAGCTGCACCGCTTCGCCGGCAGCCACCACGCGCCCGTCACCGACCTGTGCTTCTCCTCCGTCAACGATCGGCTGCTCATCAGCTCCGGCCTCGACAGTCGCGTGCTGCTCTACGACGTCATCGACAAGAAGTAAAGCCTAGCGCAGACTTGCGACTTTTGGTTGCTCGTCGCTGCAACCTGCAACCGCGTGCGATCGGTCGCGCGCTTCACCGTGTGTGCGCATGCAAGCGACTGCTGCAGTCGCTTCTTTCCATTGTCTTTTTGTCTTTCCATGACTTATATTACCCGCACACATGCGATTGCGAGCGACGAGTTGCTGAAAATCAAACTCGTTGCAAGCGACCAGAATCGCTACGAGTTGCAGTTGCATGTTCCTGCAGACTTGCAACTTTCTCATGCAACTCGGCTGCGATTCTAGAATTAAAGCCGAGTTGCATGAAAAAGTCGCAAGTCTGCGCTAAGCTTAACGCGACGCTCGCCGGGGGTCGGGCGAATGGTCCGCATCCCCTGGGTTCCCATTAAATGAAAGTTGTTCTTATATCTCTCTCTCTTTTAGTAGAGGCTTCTTATTAGAATCTTCCTTTTAAGGAGTTCTCCTTGGAAATGTGCGATGTGATGTGGCGAGGAAATTCGTAATAAATTTCATGCGTTTTAGTGTAGTGTGACAACTCGGAACGAGAGCTGTTGTTTATGATCGATCAACTAAGCAGCCTCGCTTGTGTCATAGTAGCAGGACATCACACGCGGAGTTACAGGCTATTCTTTGCATGCTTTCGTCATAGCAGTTTGCTATTACAAACGCAAAAGTGAGCAATAGCCTGAATATGGGCTGGAGCCTCGAAAATATAAGCTATGCCAGAGAGAGAGAGAGAGAGAGAGAACAAATATTGTTGTTTTATGATCTTGTCCACATTTTGGCTCCACAGTATCTGGTGCATTTGAATTAATGCAGACAGGACACTCCCAATAAATATATCGCGTGTAGTGAGTGATATATACACTATGGTGGTGAGACCAGTGAGTGATGGTGTATATTATGGGGTGTTCTAACAATCCGAGGGGAGGTACTAAGGCCATCATATGGGCTGACATGCAATAAAGCTCTGGGGACGTCGCCGTAGCTTGCTGCGCTCTGGGGAAATCGGCTAGATGGAAGAGCTGGGAGATGTTAGTGCATCCAGTATAGTGTCACGCTCACATCATATTATGTGAGTGTAACATCTAGTGACATATTTATTGTATATATATAACGGTATATGTGTATATATATATATATATATATATATATATATATATATATATATATATATATTAGTCAGAAATAGCTAAACGAGCCAGGTCAAACATAGGTTAGGGGGACATAGACCTTATCTGCGCCACTTGTAGCTCTAGTAACAGCCCACGTACGGTTGCCGCTGGCGCAGCGTGGGCCGCCACGCGGCAACCGTACGCAGGCTATAGTTACTAGAGCTAGGTCACTTGTAGCTCTAGTACTATAGCTCGCATACAGTTGCCGCAGGGCTATAGGACATTCTATTACAAATGCTAGGGACCAACCCGCTGACTGCCGCTGCTGCAGTGCCGCCAAAAATGGCAGTTTGAAGTTTGCAAATCGAATGTTCGTTTACAAGAAATACCGCAAGCAGACCATTTCAACGATAGTTAGCGGTTAAATTTTAGTTGCGGATATAACTTAAGACATATTCACTTCGGATAAAAGGCATTAATTGCCTATCACAGACGTTTTATACTTATAGCCTCAAGTAACCGTTACTAAGTTGGTCCCGAGCATCCGTAATAGAAGATCCTATAGCCCTGCGGCAACTGCACGCGGGCTATAGTTACTAGAGCTATGCCACTTGATTCTTGAAACGTTTGTTAAATAAGTTTGATAAATAAACTCGAAATGTAGTTACTACCAAAGTCTTAATGTTTTCTACTCTCTTTCGCCTATGATTACTGGTAATTTCCTGTAAATGTCGATCAAATGCTTCTCTGCAACACACAAGGTACACATAAAAACAAGCAATAGAAAAAAACAAAAACAAATAAAAATGTAGAGAAGGTAAGAAAGCTTGATCACAAAATTCGCTTGATGCTGGATTCGTATCATGCTATCACAGCACAAGTACAACCAACAGCCTCCATTTTAGTATCTATGCAGAGCTAAATATTCACTTCAACACTAGTTCAAATTATAACTCTGCCCTCTGGCTTTGGCAATTCCTGCGGAAAACTTCCACTCTGCCAAAATGGAAATGGGAGGAAGTGCCTGTTTATACATAAATAATGACGGTGCATTGCATCCTGGGGTTAGCTGATGCCCAGGCTTTCATTTTTAAGGGGCGCGATCGCGCTCGCGCTCCACTGCGCACCATAAATTGTGCCATGGTGCGTGCATCATCGC